CCACAAAAGGAACTAAATGATCTTGTACAAAATATGTGTACTGATATTTGACTATAAAGTTCCTGCTTGCATGATAAGTTTCTTTACGAACTGAAGGTCAATAACCATAAAAACGGATAAACACCTGGCAATAAATTCATTATAGAACCAGGCTTCAAATTGTGTTCGCCAAACGCGCGTTCCGTCTGCAAAAGACTCATCAGTGACGTTCGAATCCCCTTCTCCAAAATAAAAAAGGCCAAATGAAGTACAAATTTGAAAAGCATTGAGGGCCAAAATTCAGAATAGTTTTGCCAAGGTACAGCTTAGGTAATCTGTTCCTTACAATACGACCATCATAGCAAAAAACGAAGTTCATCATGCACTACACCAGTACTGATATCAATATCCATACTACAATATTACATCCTGTAATCAAATGAATGAGTTCTTCCATCTACTTTGCTAGGACATAAATGAATCCACAGTCAAAGAAATCTGGAATATCTTTTGAAATCCAATTACTTCAACTTTAAAATCTCAATCATCTAGTTAATAAACAGCATCATTTGGACAATATTCTTAGTTTAGATCATCATAATCGTAAAACGCTAGCACTTCAAAATAATGAGTGTTGACATCATCATAGCAAAAATAAACTAAAACAACAGCAACCTTTAGTATTTAACAATAGTGTGTTGTATCTATTTTGATGCCATGTAAACAAAACTGTAAAAAAACTGATGATGTATTTTTGATACAACTACTACAAGCAGAGAATCTTGGCTCTAAATACGCTACATCTAATTAAGAAAATGTATTTATGTTAAGCTACGGAGATTGGGGATTAAGTTTGTTTTTTTGTTTTGACGTATTCCATTAATTGATTGTTACTTGCGTTGTGAACAGTGGCACATATTTCATGCATGTTCAGGAGGAGAATAAATCAACAATAAATACAAATGGTATGTCCTGAAATAGGGGTTTGACCGGAATGATGTGTTAGAAATTGAGAATGACACTTAAAAATGAGGAAATATTGGTCCATCTTCGGACCCCACAAAGAGTTGTCGAAAGGGTTCTGAATGTGCAAAGACAGCGTTGTGCTATCTCTTAACGAGGCATCGGATTTGACGTCTTTTTTCGACCGGACGTATTCGGCGGTATTCGATATGATATAAGGAGGAAAGAAAACAAAAAATAAAACATTTGATTAACATTTTGGACAGTTTGGTATTTATTTCAATGTTAATATATCAATATAACACTGGAAGGGTGAAATAAACTAATAACTTTTTTTCCTGTATAATTTATGAAAAAGTCGAATATCGAAATTCAAATTTAATGTTTGACTGATTTTAATAAAAGTAATGCTGACTGTAAAAACATCTAAATATATATCCAAATGAATACTAAACGGTAGATATGTAGGAGATATATGCAAAAGTCGAATATTGAAAGTAAAATTGAATGTCTGAACGAATTAAAAAAAAATAGATTTTAAATATTCAATTTCAAATAGAATGTCTGCTCAAATACCAATAGGCAATCAAATATTGAATATCAATAGCCTACATGAATATCAAACTGTAAAATTTTAAGGGGTATGTGCAAATACCGAACAGTGTAAGTCAATTAAATATCCGATTTAATGTGAAAATACAAATAAAAAAATATAGAAAATCAAACAAATATCCGAAATTAATTTCAACCGATAAATTTTAACGAGTATATGAAAAACTAAAATATTGAAAGTCAAATTGCATTTATGAACGCATTGGAAAATTGTTGAATATTAAAAATACAAATGAATATCAAACTGGAAATTTAAAAGGGTATGTATAGAAGTATAATATTGAAAGTTAGATTGAATTTATGAATGTTATAAAAATACAGATGTAAAATATCGAAAATCAAATTGAAAATACAAAAAAATAGCAAAATCTCTAGGATTGTATTAATGCTTGGCGTTGATTTTTTTGAAAAAAAACTTTGAATACCACGAAAACTTTGAAAACAAAATTCGATCCTACTTGTTATCCATAAAGATATCACCTGTCATCTGCCTTTAGCTAAAAAAAGTATGGGGAAAATGTTAGGGCTTTATAATTATGGCGGCACATACATTGGTTTGTGCGTTGATCTTTCCAGGCATCTCATCTGAAGCAATTATCAAAATTTATAACAATCTTTACCAATGTAATTATTGCATATAGTTTGTTTTTCATTTCTCTGTATCTTTTTGACGAACATCACAGCAAGGTAAACTAATGATGGAGGAATTTGTATATACTTAGTTGTGAGAAAAACCAAAAAACAATAACAAACCTCGTTCCACATGTAGTAACTAACTGTCATGTGTTCAAGTTCTTTTAAATGAAGAGAACTTCAGCTTGGAATGTTTTATTGTATCACAAGTGAATGTTGTATAGGTTATAATTACGTTTTTTTTCTATTATAAGTAAAAAGTGGTTTTATCATTAAATTGCTGTAGAACGTAATACGATCTCTGATGTACACAGCGTGGTATAGTCTTATGACGTAGGTTTACAATTTTTGATTAGAAACGATATTACGCTCAACACAATTAGCATCGTACTTATTCTTCCTGCATAAAACAAATTCTTAACTGCGAGTATGCAGTGCTTCCTTTAAAAAAATGGTACATGTTATAAACAGTCATTAATTCTTTCATAGTAAAATAGAAACTGTTTATAAACAATTGCAATAATTTCAACTATACCAATTTATACAATATAAATAAGAAGATGTGGTATGAGTGCCAATGAGAAAACTCTCTATCTAAGTCAAAATGTATAAAAAGTTAACAATTATAGGTCAAAGTACGGCCTTCAACACGGAGCCTAGGCTCACACCGAACAGCAAGCTATAAAGGGCCCAAAATGACTAGTGTAAAACAATTCAAACAGGAAAACCAAGGGTCTAATCTATATTAAAAACGAGATACACCTATGAACCACAACAACAAACGACAACCACTGAACAACAGGTTCCTGACTTAGGACAGTGGCATAATAATGCAGCATTAATCGTAGTCAATGTAGAAGAAAACTACTAGTTATCAGATTATCATTTCACAAAATGTTTTAAGATTCAAGTACAAAAGCATGTTTTTGTCACCTGATATATATATTGATGTTAAGGTAGTGATTTCAGTATAACTAATCATATGTTTGGTGAACACTTGCATGTGGATGTGCAATAACAGGTTTCGAGGCGTAGATGTTTTGAATAATTATTCACATTATCTTATGAATCAAACAGCGATGGTTCAATATCAAGAGAGGAACCCAAAATGAATCACCACACCCACATTAGCATGTATTGCTCTATGTCAAAGCTTTAATTTAAATCGAAACAATACATTTTAGGAAATAATTCAACTTTGAAGGCTGGACGTTCTACATTGAACTGTTATTACAGACCACTATTTGAGTGTACAGATACTTGAGCAAAAAAAAAACGATATCTACTGTCATAAATATGGACAATAATGAGAACTCAAAACTTGATATACGTTTTTAATTTATTTAACAAATGTAATCATGTTATCAAATTGTTACAAAAAGTAAAATAACAAAAATACCGAACTCAAAGGATATATATATAAACAAGTCTAAATTGAAAACAACGTTCAAACCTATGATTGCGTTGGATAAAAACCGCATTTTTTATACGTGTGCATGCAAATCAAATTTCTTGGTAGAGGGGTCTAAATACAGCACAAACAACATTTTCCAAAAGACCAAATGAGTGATTTGACTAGCAGGTCGAACAACTGATGTTCAGAAACCCTGCTGATATATATATATATAGACCAAAAAAAAAAAAACCCAAAAAAACCTGTGCTCTATATTCAAATGTGTTGCCTTTATGATATCAAATTGTAATATGATGCATTATTATGCTTTAGTAATACGATGACCCGGTAGGGATGATATCAAATGTTATTGAAAGGTCATACATATCCTGCTCCTAAATGAACACCCTCATATTTTCTGTGGTCAAAAACGTTTTATCAAATTTAATAAGGAAACGGGAAAAATAATAAGTTTTCCATTTTGGGGTTAAGATATTCATCTCGCAGCCATTGATCATTTTGTGATGAGATTTTTTTTTGGCAGTTATTTAAGATAGATAACGATTTGAGGGAACAGTATTAATTGCTGTTTTTGTCTTTTTTTTCTGGTAATGTATTGCCATTGATACAAAAACCGACAAGATGGGTCATCCCCTTACCTTTTTAATAAAGCCGTACATACAATTGTATTACAAAATATAACTGACTTAAACCTTATTGTCTTTGGCAATAGAGTTGACATCGTTTCAAGGCTTTAAATTCAGCAGTCCTCATTAAATTACAAATCCTCATAACTATGATTGATTGATTGTTTGGGTTTAATGCCACTTTCAGCATCGTAACTATTAAACTGCTTCTGTTTTGGGTTTAATTTCTTACACAATGATAGACAGAGTATGTTTGCTCATGTTTAATTTTATGAATTATGTTTGTTTACATGGACAGTTATAATGCATTTTGAAACACTAAAACCCATAGAAGAAATTGAAAAAGAAAACAGACATTCACATCTATGATTGTGATTTAATGGGATCAGTTTTTCCCATTAAACAGGCCTTTTATTCCTGTTCCAGTTCATGAAAGAATATTTTTAAGATCACGCAGTTGTTTTTTAACAAACGTTTTTCAAATTATATCACATGTTTGCATTAGCACATTGTTTTATAAATTGCAAAGAGAAAAAATTGAACCAACACACAATTTATTTGCACAAGGACATTATTAAATACAAATATAATATGAAATGAAACAACACTCTTTTTTGACATTTAAAGTATTGTCTGGAATGAAAAGGCATTTAAAAGAAACAAAGAGTCGCAAGGTCGACTGAATGTAAAAACGACAAGTGCATGAACTTAATGAATAACATAGAAAAAAATAATTGGTTATATAGATGAGTATATAATAAAAACAGACTTACCAAAGTTGAATAATCGTCATTTTGTTAAGAATATCAATCCGTCAATAAAATCTTTCTTCACTCTTAATCACATCATTGTTAAGAAATCTACTGTACGATTGACGATACAATGTAAGTACGCCAGCTACCATCAAATAGAACCGCAATTAATACCATCAAATAGAACCACAATTAATGCCTTCGGTTTTCTCGGTGTGTTTCTTCAATTAGGCAAGATCAATAAAGAAGTAAGAAGTGCATCAAAAGAGGGTCAACGGATTTCATAGGGTACCCAATGGGTTTTTGACAATTTAATAATTGCATCTTGAAAAGACATTTTTTGGTAAATTATCATATACCATTTACATCAATTCAGTATACAAATAACAGGTAATTAGTGTCGTACCATTGTTTAAAGACAAGTTATCGTTATCGGAAACCACATTGAATATTTCTGAAAAGTCAAATATAAATTATTTTTGCTATTGATTTCAAAGCTTATACACATTCTAAAGAATTGTGTTTGATTACGTAGGAAAAAAACTACTAAGCATTGCATAAATAAGCAAATATTTACAATTGAAAACAGCGTTTGCTGATTATTCGAAATTCGTATGTTTGTTTAGAGTCTATTGCTACTGGTCTTATGTTTTTTTTGTCTTTTGAGTGGGTCCTTTCTGTGCTTAAATTTTATATTCGTGTTTCATTTTCCTTTTTAAGGTGTAATAACATCACAAGTTGATGTTTCACGGAATTTTGGTTACATGTTTCATCCAGATTGGTTATATTTTAGGTTATAAAAGACCTACGTTCTATGAACTAGATATAAGCTTCTCATATCTGATTTACATAGAAGTATTAAATAATTATCTTATCTTTTCTCTTGTTCTAAAAAGAAAAATTAGTTTTGATAAAACAAGAAAAGTGTCATTATCTCAAATTTTCCAGATGCAGTAACACATTCAGAAGATATTTCATAGTTATGGATTTGGAATGAAATCTTTATTGCGTCTGCTTATCTGTAATCAAATTGAAACTTTATCACTGCTTTTGTATGACAATATGAATAGATGTACTATCTTGTCTTTTTATGGTTTAATTGCCAAAACCTGAACTTTTTGCTGATAAATGATAACACTTATATGTAAGTAATTTAGATACACCTTGAGGGCGTTAGCCCGAATTTGTGTATCTAATTTACACCAAGATATTATTGTCAATGCAGAATGATAGTTTTCAATAATTTAGGAGGGGTTTCAGCGATTTGACCATATGTTATTGAATAGCATGATAAATACAGGGTATCCAATTTCATTTAACGACACATTGGTATAAGTAAATATATATAGAATATTCACTCAGTGATCCGATTGTTTTTGTTTACAAAATTGTGTAAAAAGGTCTTTGCTAAAACAAGCCAATTAATCACCATTTTGGGACTGACTAAAAGTGAGAGAAAGTCTAAAGTCGATTGTTGAAAACTTGAATTCTGATGTTTGACTTAAACAAAGAAAATTTGTCTTGTATCAAACGGTCTAAAAAGGTTGTTGTTATTAACCAATTAGTCTGAATTTTTGGAACTGAATGATATTGAGATAGACAAACTGCAGCCTATTATTGAAAACTTGAATTTCACAAGAAATGAAGTATGAAGTGATCATGTGGACTATAACACAAATGGAAAGTTGGCAAAGTTTTGCTATGTATGTAGAGACAATTTTTGTGTTTATTTTGCCATCACTCATTATGTATGTGCCCTCTCTGTATTATCGACCAACTTTTACATTTACCTTAAGACAAAGTTATTGATTGATTGATTTTTTGCTTTTTTGTGGCGGCCAGTTGTTATTGTTGGAGGAAGCCGGAGTGTACAGAGAGAACCTCCGAACTTCGGCAGGAAAACTGGCAATCCTAGTCAAATAAGAATGGAGTCGAACGCAACTGCCATGTGCGTAGTTCGAACTAACAACCTCAGTGTTGACAGGCAAGTAGTATAGAAGTTGAATTACTTATACCACTCGGCCACCGAGGCCCGCTAAAGTTATTGAAAAGGCGAACTGGAGCACATAATTACCGATTCAAAAAAGTGTGTACATTGCTTTGGTGTATTGATTTTAAATACAGAACCTTTTTAATTTGAATGATTAAAGGTTTCATATACCTTGATTCTAGTTAATGTTTTATGTCTATATATAGACTTACATTTAAATATTGGTTATGTACATTTTAACATGGGTTAGAAATCGAATTTGTTTGCTGTTACCGTTATCTAATTCATGAATTAGTTGGACTTTTTCAATTACGCCATCAGAATTGAAATGATTTTGTGAAACTTGCGAATAAGGCTCAACTTATGTATGTTTTACTTAATTTTGTTATAGATCTCATATGCGCCTTTGTTATTCCACTAAATGGGACGACAATAAGGTGCAGATTTAGTACTAAAAAACTCAACCTACAGCATGTTAATCTGTTCGCCAAGAACATTGTCAGTGGTTAACTTTTATCATGTTACTGTGATTTTGTCCTTCAATGAATAGATTGATTGCGTGTTGCTTGCTGACCGTCCGGTGGCAACTATTTCTTGCATAGAATTTCATAGCACGAGAACAAATTTACAATGTATACAATAGGTAGATTCAACAGGGTATGTAGACCATGTCAAAGGGCGGGAAATTTGGACTGCCACTTAAAAATGAGGGGATGTTGAATAGGATAGACATTTTGCCATGTAACAAGGCCACCTTTGGACTTCCTCAGAGAGTTGTTGCAAGGATTCCTTCGCTTGCATAGAGCCTAGCACTCACCCAACACTTTCATACAATTTAAAGTCCCTGTCTTGTAAGGTATCCTTCTTCGTGTCCCCCTGTCGTAATACTTATGCATGTTGAACCTCGATTCACATGTCGCCTCTCTTATAAGGGCAGTTTCTCTGGTGCCGCGGATGACCTTTATATACAGGTTTGACTGTATATACAAGCCGGAAATATAAACAGATACTTGTTAACTGTTTAGGATCGTATATTAATTAATCCTTTTGGTGTATTTATGATGTGTTTGTATATTTGGGTAACTGTCTTGTTGACGTTCTACATCTCTCCTTGTTTACACCTAATCTATTCGGATAACTCTTTATAAACGTGAATCACAATAAATCGTTTCGACATCAGACTTTATGTAATTTAAAAAAGTTCTATGAAAAGATTTGATCCCTTTATTGAAGAATTGCTTTTGTACAAATCTTAAAAGGCTGGAAACAAAGATACTTAACAGTTAATTGATAATTTCAAAGACAAATACAGACGTCTGATCGATGGTCTTACTGTTGTTTATAACATGCAGACACTCTTCCAACGAAGAAATACAACTTAACAAAGTCGATAAAGATAGAAACAAGTACAGTACTTAAAAACATAGGAAGGAAGTATTTAAATTACATTTCAATAAACGATGTTACTAAGAACACATATACTGTGTAGCTACGGCGAACTTAAAATCAAGAATTCCTACTAGTACTTGAAAGTTTTTTTTTCCATTTGCAATAAAGAAACCGTTTTTTCACCTGTAATTGTTTACTTTTTATACATTGTGACTTGGATGAAGGGTTGTCTCATTTGTACTCATACCACATCTTCTTATTTCTACTTATACTGCAATTGTAAGATACTAGATTTAAAATGGAAAATTAATCATTCTTCTGAAAGTTACATCGTCTACCAAAATCATGCATAATCTACAAAAACATCGAAAAACACTAAATATCAAATTTTAAAATAGAACTAAAGTACGATGTCCATATCCAATTCCCAATACAACAAGCGTCATTCGGTTTAAACTACTCCGGCCCATTGACATTTTTTTGCGTTCTGTAACAAAAAAGATTAGTCCAATGATGGAAAGAAATAGTTTTTGTAAACTGTTTTATATTGAACAAAATCGTTTTGTAGTCAGTTATTTTACTTGTAAACTTCTTACAAAATCCTTATTTATCAGAAGTCTAAGTTACGAACGAAACTCGAAATTTTGTAAAAAGGCTGGGCTATTTTATTTAATTCTGAAATATCTTTTTTTGCCTTTTCGACTAAATCAAAACCCATTGACATTTTTACGCACGGTGAAAATATTGACCAAAAAAAATCCTACCCTTGTTAAATGGAGCATAGAGCATGACACAAAATAGATATTTCTTAATTCCATTCGGAATTGAAAAAGTTTAATTGCAATCTTTTATTTCGGTAGATATCTAATTTAATTCATATTGAAATGTAAGAAACAAACATGTCTTCCTGTGCTGTTTATTGCGTTGCTATGTGAAATATACCCCAAAGTATAGTCGCCAATATACATTGTAGGACGGCATGATTTCATATCAGCAGGCCAATTACCATTAAACCTAGGTATATGTCACATGTTCGTGTCCAGTCAGAAGTTTCTCTAGTGGTATCTATAGTTATTATAGGATTAAACGCCTTTTTAAAGGAATTTATTGGTGTATAAACTCGACCAATTCACTCACAAACAAATAAAAGTCCGAAGGACTTTTATGATATGTTTGTGAGTGACGGTCCAGTTTATACACCAATAAATTTCTTTAAAAAGGCGTTTAATCCTTATAATTCTTTAAAATTGGAGATATTTAATATATTTTTCCACACTCGTAACCTCTATCACACGTAAGTTGTATATTTGTGTCATTGAATAGGCCTGGCGCATGAATATATTTGTTGGTTAACGCAAAAATATTTACTCCATGAAATTGGCTATGTGATAAAAAATAAACTACAAAAACTCTTTTTATCATTCAAACGAATGTTTTTGTGTATTTTTTTTTAATTTAACGATTAACGTACAGTGAAAATAAATTTTGTTAACGTCGGTGTTATTATCGCCGCCATCTTGTTTACATCGGTTACGAAAAGTAGTTCGGTCAACGTCGTCTATCGAAAAATAAACAACGTCAAGATCAACTACCGGAAGTCCTCTCGACCAATCATATCAACGTTTTCCCTAATATGCAAATCATATAAGAATTATTCCTTAATATTTGGCAATTTTGATGTTAAAGACAGACCTTTGATAGTCTCTGAAAAATTTATTCACAACTTTTCTGTCCTCGAGCAATGTAGAGCTCGAAATATTGTATAAACACTTGACCTTCGTTGTTGTCATTTAATTGTTTGTTTTATATATGTCTCATTGACTTACCCCACGTTTCATATAAAAATAAGAAGATGTGGTA